CTGAACCGAATTTGTCATTTCGATTTGTTTTTCTTTCAAATTTTACACTCAGTTTTTCATTTTCTCACACAAAATTATTTTGCGTAGCGCCCTCTGCAACAAAACTCAACTATTCCTTTAATTTTGTTTTACTATGTAAAATTTGATTTTTGGATTGTATACACAACTGAGACATAAATTCATATTTTTCTTTTGACTCATATCCGTCTACATGTATCTCATTCATATCTTCATTATTATTTTCTCAGCCATTGGTTTTTAAAGAACAACAAGGATGTGGAAAAGATCATTTCGGTTTTCTCGTTCTACGGTCAAAAGAGGGCGCCAGAACAATTTCTTCGAAGCTATTTATTGATAATATATTGTTAATCATGTATTGATTTTGGTCAAATATATGATTTACAGTAATCGTAAAAAAGGAAAGTTCCCATCTAGTAAAGAAATATGTAAGGCTGTAGAGAACTCAAAAAAGTTGAACATGAAAAAGCAAAATTAAAGGACAAACTGCCAATACATTATCAAAAATGGGAAAATTTTACCCCTTAGGGCAGGGGGACTGATTGTATATATTGTAATTCCTGTTTCCTGTTCACTCCCTCACTTTCTCATCGATCCGGACACTTACCTGCTATCGTGTTTGCTTGTTTTTTATATTTTATATTTCATATTTTTTTAAATAACGGTATAGTTAAAGACCTCCACTGATACAAGACCCTTATATAGTTATAATGAAAAATGCACCATATCATTATATGTAAATATAACAAATTTTGTTATCATGGATTATGAAGCAGCACCTTCACCTTATACTTTTTGTTTATACAAGAAAATCTTTGTTCAGATTGTTTAATTTATATTGAACTAATTAATTTGCTTATTGTGTTGTAAAAAATGTTCCTTTGTATAATGTTGTATCCAAGTATTACCGTCACCTTTTCCTTTTTAAAGGAATTGGAGCACATTCTGTACACTTGTTTTGAATGTGTACTTTATTAGTTTGGATACAAATGGAAAATATTTTTCTAAATATGTCTGTGTTTAAAATGTATGAGACAATGTACTACATGTATGTTTATACTGTAAGAACAATTGTGTTCCTATTCATCATTTTGTATAATTATGAAGATCTGAATAAAGGCAAAAAAGCTTAAATTGTTAATTAAAGAATTCTACACCTTACATCAATATTGCAATACATGCACCTCACGATCATATCCTTTGAATTAGGTAGCCATAGTAGAATGTATAGGATCACTGAGTGAAGTAGGAAATCCATTTAGGGGGAATGATATAAAAGATTACTTTCTTTGCAGTCGAATCCGCTCCGACTTATAATAATAAACACACTCTAAAGTAATCGGTAAATTAATCCTTCGAGAGTGGATTCAAAATTTCCCCCGAGTATTACCTATCTAAACGATTGACCCATAATTATACTCCCCTAAAAGTGCATTTCTATTCCTTTATATTTATAGAGTGAAATAAGAGAGAAGACGCAAAGCTTATCAATTTGTTTTCTTAATATTTTGTTCTTTTAATCTTCTTGATGACAGTACTTTTGACACGATACAATAAATCTTTAACAAGCTCAAGGTGTGTTATCAGTGTAATCATTAAAGCTAATTCTACATTTATATATATATATATATATATATATATATATATATATATATATATATATATATATATATATATATATATATATGTTATCTACCTACTTATGTTTAAGAAATAATGATAACAAGAAGAGGCGCTTATTTTCAAATAAAATCTACGATCATAGATTTATGAAACAAACTTTATACTCGAAAAGATAAATTCTTAAAGTTCTGCTTAGTAGTTATATTATAATATAATTATACAATATTTCAATTTATCTTATAATAATAATAATATACTGATTATTCCAGATCTATGGGTGTATTTTTAATTTCAAATTAGTCGTCTATTTGTGAAAAGAGTTTCTCTTTCACAACATAAATATTCAGTACATTATCATGACACTTGAACAATATGACGATATTCTGAGAAAAAATTCCATCATTCCAACTTTAAATCGCCATGAACATCGATGGGCTTCATTCCGTGGAAGACAAGTGGAGATAAGGAGATGAAAACAAGAATTTGTTGATGAATTAAGAAAAATAAGTAGCGCTTCAAATATTAAACCAAGTATTCTACTAATTCACGCGAACCAAATCTTGGGTCTACGATCACGTTCAAGAAAATATAAACTTTGATCGCAGACTAACTTCTAAAGGAAAAAAATCCTAAGAGAAGAGGCGTAAATATTTACTTCTGAATGACAAACGCCTATAAACTAAATCAACAACAACAACAACAAATAAACCCGTCTTTTAACATCAATGCTTGGGCCCAGCGGCGGGTTTACACTTTGGTAAAATACGGGCCCGTCAGTGTTTTTACAAATAAGTTTAGATAATTGGAAAAGATAGTCATATCAGCTTTGAATAAACATATAATAAGAATCCTAAGATTTAGCTGGATTTGACAGTGTAATTTCATACTACTAAACAGTATCAAGAAATCGTATTCTGGCAAGCTTTTCTTCAACAGGCCCTTATTCTCTCTAGTTTAATATGTTTTCTTAATAAATAAAAACTTGATCAGCTTGAATTCTCAAAGATTATTCTACAGAACCAAAGGGACGTAAAGTCATATTCTTTAAAGCGATGCTGAACTGATGAGCTTCCTGCCCTAGCGTACTCTTTATCGCACAGCACCATACCGGAACAACATAACAAAACCTATTCTCCACTCCAGACAGAGGACTCGATACGTAACCAACAGCGCAGCTATGGCCCGGTCCCACTGACCGATGGACACAAAACGTATGCATAAATGACGAGCAAAATTTCCGGGGTGGCTCCATCCGTTTTCATCCGCTCCAGAAATGGACAAAATTTGCGAAAATTTGCGAAAACAGAACGGAAAATAACGGACGTGGGTAGTATGTAGCGGGGATGTTAAACGGATGTTCATCGGAAGCCTAGCGGATGAAAGCGGATGGAAGTGGATGACAGCTTTGAATACTTTATATACAAGATGCATACGCTTACATCCTTTTTATTTCCGTGCTACTAACGATGTATAGACGTTCCATGTACCTTATCTTTCCTTCCTCTTTCCGTTTTCAGCTGCAGCGGATGTGAGTTGCGAGGACTATACTTCTATAGCTGCCCTAAGATGGCGCTCGAAGGAATTTCGCGTTAGTGATTATCGGACAGTATAGCTTTTACACAAAACTAACGCCCCCTCTGGGTCTCAGCAGTATTATATAATTCAACATACATTTCACAAAGTACTGATTGTTTCGTTAAAAAAAGGAGTCTGTCAGTCATAATTGCACTTTAAACAGGCATAACAAATTAAGACATATATATTGACAATATAAATAGTTTAAACAATTAAAAAATATATTTACAAGGTAAAATGGAAATTAATAGTCAGTAAGCTTCAAGAGACACCAATAGGCAGACAAAATCTAATTTATGCCATAGTCATCTCTTTCCCATTTTCTTTAATTTTCTTTTACTCTTTCTACATCCCTCTAACTACCCGATGAAGGGTTCTTTTAAAGAAAGAATGTATCAAAAGCCTTTTCACAAATGCTATGGTGTAACCAAAAGCTATCAACCATGAAACGAAAAAAAAAAATGTAATATTTAATCTAATAACAGAAAATAACCCAATACTCATCAGATCAATTAAAAAGCATATGCCGCATTTCTATTAAAAACAACAACCTGGAACCATGTTAATAGATTAACGTTCTATCAACTCGTGTATTGTTTACTTAACAGCCTTTTTGTCGTAAAAATCAATTTCATGTCTTCACTTTTTAATCTGATTTGTGGAATGATTGAACCGCTATAGATCCACGTTCGCAAGGAATGTGTATTACAATTATAAAAACATTCGTTAAGAAATAAACATATTTCATTGCTGACATACCTATATTGCACATTTAAAAAAAAAATTATTGACAGCCCAATCAAGTTACATCACAAAGATGTCGACATGTAGACATAGCTACGTTTATCATGATAGCAAACAGTTTTTTAAAATGCTTTTTTTTTAAACTGCTTTGATAGAATGACCATTATCTGCGTTACTTTACTTTACTTTACTTATCTATTCATTTTCCTATCATAAAAGGAAGGAAAAAAATCCATGTACATGTAAATATGATTTAAATATTATTTTGCAACTAAATGCTCTTTATCCAAAATTAAATGATCTAGAAATAAACTTATATGTCCAACTTGCAATTTTTACTGCAATTAATATCAAAATGGAAATGCGAGGGACAGGCTACATAAAGACAAGACCTAAAAATATAATTTAATTTAAGGAAAAACATGACAATTTTTTTAATTTAGGAATGTACAATGTAAATGTTATTTAATCAGCTAACTTTCTAATGTTTTATTTCTTGCAGCATTTTGTCTTTATCTATATTGAAAACAGTTAGAAACATCTATGAATGAACGTAAAAGAAGTACTTAGTGATATAAATGCTATTTTAAACTTATTGTCATTGTATTTTTCGCATTTCCTGCTGACTTGAGTGACCAGGGCTTCACCCGTCGAGTATCTATATAGTAATGTGCATCTATGTAAAACATCATTGTTTCCAAAAATGTACACTTTATTGTGTTTTGCTCTTTTTTTTAATTAGTAAAGAAATGAACTTGAATCTGAAAAAAGAGCTGAGCAATTGTCGTAGGAGTCTTTTTACCCTCTTTCTTTGTCCGTCCTTTCTCCTTTCTATTATGCCATGTGATTGAGGAATATATGCCCTTTGCTCCGCCCCCCCCCTCCCCCGTAGCTACGCCACTGGGCTGTATGAGGGTGGAAAAGTAAACCTCAACAACTTTAAGAGAAAGCAGAAAAATCAGAGAAGCAGACTGGTGAAGTTAAAAAGAAATCGAAGAAAAAACAAAAACAATTATAATAATATTACGTATAAAAACATCAAATAGGCTGAATCGGTAATGTCACCATGACTTGATGCTGGACAACTTTCCTATTTGTTTAACACACAAAATGACTAACATATCGAAATTGATGACTCAAGAAGTTCTTTTTCGTTTTAGAGGAACTATAACAATATGCTATCCATAATTCAGTTTAAGTAGTTCTCCAATGGAGTAGGCACTTAGGTAGGAGGAAAACAGAAATTAATGATATTTTTTCGAAATTTGGGAGTTGCACGGGACTATGCCACACAATACACTGAGCAAATTGCTGAGTTGAGATTCACACAGATGTAGTGATTTTATATTTCAAACTTTCATAAGTCTTTTGCTAATGATCCAATAATTAATATAAATCTTTATTCAATCAATTACTCTCATTTATATGTTTTCATAAAAATTTGGATTGCCCTTTAAGTAATGACACGGCCTTTCCTGTCGAAGTACCGTGAGAACCTCCACCGCTGTGCCTTAGAACCATTACAGTGATTGAAGATGGCCATGGTACGGTCTGCGTTCAGATCAAGACACTTGCCGGAGGATGTATCACGTATCGTTTCTCCCTGTAAGTGGAAGGACACGACAAAATGAAACGTGTGAGAATAGTTCTTTAAAGAAATTGGGTATCTTTGCCTCAGATTTAAAACAAAAAACGTGAATTAGCTCATGCTGCAATCATAATTATAAACCTTTAGGTCAGTCAGAAACCCCATGACTTTTAGAAGCCGATCGCCTGTCTGATATCAAGATATTTATGATTGGAAATCGAAATTTCAAAAACCATTTTCTAACGGTTTTTATTACGCCACATTCTATTGGGGAAGATAAGTGTGGTAAAAACCGGTCACTCAAAGAATTTTTACTTTTTTAGGCACTTTATGGTCATTTTTTTAGGGCTCTAACATTATACCATATCACAGACACTGATAACGTGTAGGGCCATGCATCTCAGATTTAACATTATTAAACGATGCCTTTAAGAGACAGGGGTATCTACAGGGATTCCCCTTATTAAATGGTGAAAAATACAGTAAAGACAGAACGAAAAAGAATGAAACTTGGCACTCAGCAGGAGCAGTTCTAGAAGAAGAATGGGGGGGGGGGGGGCTTGAGCCACCTGCACCCCTTTCTCTCCTTACTTTCATCTGTCTTATCGTTTGGAGTAGATTTTGTTTTGTAGTTATAAGGGAATAATCCCAACAGGCCGCTTTGTGATTCCCAACATCCCTTTCAATTTCGGTTTTAAAAAGAGAGTATAGTATACATTGCGACCGTTACGAGTTTGTGCCTGCAAACTATTAATAATAGGTCACTCGGTGCAACCAAAGAAATGAAGACTTAGGAAAAGGATACTTGTCATATTAAGGTTATATAGTCTGGGGTGTTTCATAAAGCTGTGCGACCTCATCTATTAACAAAATATTTTAATGTTAAGTGTATTTTTGGCTACAATTTAATTGAGGTTATGGGAAATTCAGTCACACTTTGTTAAAATGTCGGGTAAAACTTCGGGCATCCCATTTGGCTCTTTATATTCAAATCATTTGCAAAGTCATTCGTAACTTTACGCACAGCTTTATGAAACACTCCCAGGAAGCACATACCTTTATGTGTGTAATACGAGCAGTACTGGCCATATTGCATCCCAGCATCCTGAGCTGACCAGGGGTCTTAATCTTCGGCAAACATTTGTTCTTATGCTTTAACTGATCATCCCAAGTCAAAGTGAATGCCTGTAGGAGAAAGTAAGATGAATAAGTGAAATAACCGATAATTATCCCCCCCCTTAAACCCCCTTCCCCTGTGTCAATTTCACCAGCTGTGGCTCTCTTTATTCATGAGGAATATACTTATATTTACCTCTCAGTATCAACCATCTATTTACCAATACCGTTTTTAACAGTGTACAAAAGAAGGGTTGTACTGTTAACAATGGGCCAGTGACTTGCTTGATTAGCCCTAATAGTCATGTAGACGAAATGATTGTTAGACCGTGTGGATAGTGGACGAAATGATTGTTAGAACATGTGGATAGTAGACGAAATGATTGTTAGAACATGTGGATAGTGGACGAAATGATTGTTAGAACATGTGGATAGTGGACGAAATGATTGTTAGAACATGTGGATAGTGGACGAAATGATTGTTAGAACACGTGGATAGTGGACGAAATGATTGTTAGAACATGTGGATAGTGGACGAAATGATTGTTAGAACATGTGGATAGTGGACGAAATGATTGTTAGAACATGTGGATAGCGGACGAAATGATTGTTAGAACATGTGGATAGTAGACGAAATGATTGTTAGAACATGTGGATAGTGGACGAAATGATGGTTAGAACATGTGGATAGTGGACGAAATGATTGTTAGAACATGTGGATAGTAGACGAAATGATTGTAGACCAAATGGCACTTCACAAGTGGGTACATGGTGAGAACTATTCCTTGACTGTTGACGGAGCTGTAGCCGGAGTAATAATAATATCCAAGGTCCTTCGTAAGCACTAGGAGATATTATACATGTATCATAAGGTGTTATTTGCGCTATACAATAACGACATAATCTTGTATAACCAGTCCCGCCCCCCGCCCAATATAATTATATATATATATAATTTATATTAGATAGAATTAGATGAAATTTAAAAAATCAAGACAAATTCTATGATGACATGTGAGTTAGCACACCAAACGACAATTGATGTTTGGAGTTAATTTTCAGTAACTTACCTGGTTATTTCCCTCTCCATGGCATGGGAACATTCCCAGAACACCCTTCCCCATCGAATCAAGGCACATCGAGGTGGCAGCATTCCTAACCTACAGAAAAGAACAAAGACAATAAATTGAGAATTTTGTTTAAAATGTATTAAAAGGGCACTTCATCATTAGTGCATCCACCACTTCCAACCTTCTAATGAAGATTCAGATTTTCTTCTTATAATCAAATGAATACAACATGAAATTACATTTACATACATGGAGAAAAGAATTCCGAAATTACCTAAAAACAGGAGGCTTGTGATAGTGCTGTCATAGCAGTACAAACATACATATCACAATTGCGCGGACTTTTGAATAATAAACTTTATGGGCAGTTTCAAAAACCTGTGGTGTAGAAGTCATGTTCAGATTACTAAGATGCTAATCTAACTTTCACATGTTTTCATACGGAACGCACAAGGCTAATAAAAATCACATGTCGTGGTTTTTGTTGTTGAAAGTCTTTGAGTTGATTTTAATATACACATGTAGATGTTCATCATCATCATACAAAAGTCATGTATAATCAATTTTAATTGATTTCAAAATGTCATACATGTATATATCATACATAAGCGGGTAAACAGAAAGGGGTAGACAGCGAACCACTTGGCTTGATGATGTCAAGAAATGGACTGGTCTTTACCACGGAGAGGTTAGAACAAGGGTACATGACATAAAGCGATGGATGTGCATAGCCGCCAACCACTTCCGAAGGGACGGCACTAGATGATGATGATCATACATGAATGGATCTTTGTAAGCCTTATTAAAAACTTGATAGAGTCTTTGCAATCGTGTTATACTTATTAAATAATTTTAAAAAAGGTAAAAATCGGGTGGTTACTCACATCTCCCCTTGCTCTGACTTTTGTATCTGGGACCTTGAGGGCGGGGTAGACGTTGTCCAGGTACCACTGGAAGTCATGGCACTTCAGCTCTTCACGTAGCTTGATCCTATCGGACACATCACCGTACTCCTGCCCCATCAGCTGGGGCTTGAGGGAGTAGAAGATGTCCCTGTAAGGTTCGTCCACCCACACGGCCACCAGACGCATGGTGTTCCGCATGAAGGTTCTGACATTCAAAAAGGGATACAGTATCAATAATAAAATTGTGATTGTTGTAGGTTCAATAACAATTATTTATACTGTGCGCATCTGTTCTCAAAGCGCCTTATACGAAGTACTATTTTTTATCCTGGCTTAAGCCCAGCTGCCCTATGTTGCTACAATAATTTAAGGAACAAATTCCTACCGGGTATCCATTTTCTACACCTGTTTGGAGAGTGGTAAATGAAGGTTAGTGACATGCCAGATGACATTTGTGTCAGGGCGGGACTGGAACTGCGAACCCAGTCTGGGATCGTATCTACTGGACTATGACACCCTCTACAATATCATGATATTGATTTTACATTCTCCCCTCCCTGTAGCATTCCAGCTAGTTGCTAATTAAAGACGTATATGATGTTGAACAACTACACTGAAGTTCACATCCTACCTGGAACCCACTTGACACCCTTCAGTATTCGTCATGATTATCTCAACTAATGACTAGCTTCATACAATTATTGTATACTACCATGGACCTGTACGATTGAAAGACACTGACTATGAATATGTTGGCTGACTCTAGTACTACACCTGGGTCGCGACAGTTAACCATTGAACAAACACATTTAGGATCCGTTCGCATAAAGATTTGTGAACGCGACTCAAACAATGAAACGCATCGTGAGTTTTCAACAAGGATCAATATTGTGTTTTGGAGACTTTGGGCGTTTTAAGAATCGTAACTTTTTACTCTAGACTTTATACAAGCAACCACCGTATATATATCAGGGTAAAAGTGAAAGGACAATACATTTTATTAATGAATGGGAGCGATTCTTTCCACTCTTTTGAGAGAAACTGGCCTAATATGCCAAATAACAAAAAATATATATTAATGATAATTTCAAGATGTTGTGATCAAGAATAGGTTACTTACTTTACATTTCCATCCGGGAATTTATAGGGCTGTTGTTTCCTGAATATATGCGCTACTCGAGAACATGGGATGATCTCTAGTGAGCCACCACACATCCAGATCTGGAATAAAGGAACGGATTTATTTGGGTATTTATTATCTTTAATCTTGATTTTCCTCTCGTCATCCGTCCCATTCCTTTTAGAGTTCTATTCGCTAACAACAATTTGAAGGGTGAAACAACTTGGCGTTTTTGTTATCAGGAGGTCTCGGAATAAGGTGGTGAATTTCTTATATCAGAATACATTACAATACTAGAATAAGAAAATAAGAGACAAATTAATCTTTGGGATGATGAGTGTCGTTCGTCCGATTTTTCTTTCATTTGATGAAAACATACATGTGCGTAAATGAATGCTATGTGTTTTATAAATATTAGTTGCGACAGATATCACATTGTAGCAGGGAATATGGCAACGTGATTTTTCTTTTAATCCAGTAGCAACGGTAATTACAGAAAAACCTCTATATTACGATACGAATTAGTTGACATACTTTGAAGGAGAGTTATACGTTTTCAGCATCCTAGATATCGGTTGAAGTTTAACATACCATTTTGTTGATTTGATTTATTTTATTTGCAGGAAACTTATCTTACATTTAGTTACATAAATGAAAATAAAATTGTTATAAATGTTGTCACTGAAGCAGTAATTATGGCAATGTATATTTCGATCGAGCAAAAGCGTTGTTTCCTTATTATTACGTAACAAATTACGTCACACACCTTGAAGGATAGTTCCAGGTTTTCAGCACCCCAGATATCGAAGCCGGGGTCGTAGGTGCCGATACGGTAGAAGAAATCCTTGTCAATTGAGAACAGCCCTCCGGCCATCGCTGGCGATCTGAAACGATTACGGATTAAGGTAAACCTTAGAATACGAAAACAATTATAATTAACACTAAAAGGGGCCTGTACCATTAACAAATCGTCTAAAAATCAATCATGAACATCTATTGGGGATGTGTCGTGGTACAGCGGTTGAACCTTGAATCTCAACCAAAGAGTTGATCATCCAAACTAAGAGGGAAACCAAGAACCAGCCGAGAAGGGTACATCTAGACATGGAGTAGAATGACGCTACAAGAGTGTACTAGAATGGCAGAGAGAACAGATATGTATGGAAGAATGCTGCAATCAATCTCCGAGCTGGAGAAGAAACCTTATTACCTTGATAGATAGATAGATAGATAGATAGGTAGTTTATAATCTGAAGAAGCCCAATGGCCGAAACTTTGTCACAGCATTACATTGTAAACGGAGTTTATGTTTTCGGTGTCGAGTCTCATTTTAAATCTTCTCAGTCGAAGAACAATATTATCTCTAGATAGATGGATGGATAGATAGATTTATAGAGTATTCAATCATACTTGATTTATAATAATAATAATAATAATATTTATTTTTTTAACCAGGGTAGCCATCATCCGTTTTAATACTGTTCGCCGTGGGGCCTGCAGCCATGTTGCTACCCCGGCTTTAACCGAGCTACCATGAAAAGGCGCTCAACCATTCACGTAATTTCCTCTTACAGGGTACCCATTTACCTCACCTGGGTGGAGTGTGGCAGATGTAGATTAATGACTTGCCAAAAGTCATTAGTGCTGCGACGGGGATTCGAACCCCTTACCTGATTGGACAGGAAGAGGATTATCCACGGTTGTATTGCTTAATAAATATACCCCTGGGTAAAGAGAATGCGTATCATGTTAAATGCCTACCTGATTGGCCATGACTCATCGTCTCTCCGCCTCGCCTCGTATTCCGGGATTCCATTCCATGTAAATTTCATTTCCCAGTTAAAGGCACCGATGATTGTAGCTCCGGACCCGGCGTACCTAGCAAATAACAATAAAATATTTAGATGTTAAGCTTCCAAATTCATGGTGATTATTCTAAGGACGATCATGACGATCATGATGATGTTCATAATAATTGTACTACATGTACTTCTACTAATACTACTACTACTACTAATAATAAAATTAATAATAATAATAATGATAATAATAATAATACTAACTCTAATAATAAGAACGATTATATTAAACAAATAAACACAATGATAACAAATAATGATGATAATAATAAGACAGAAGAATCACCAAGGCACCTATAGAGAATACTTCAAAAGACAAGCTGTCTTAAGGCGTTGAAAGAAGTTACGTTATTAAGAGGGACTTTCCCACTCTCCCTGAGTTGATAGTGGCATATGAAGATTGATGTCTTGTCAAAGGACTAAAGTCTCCTCCCCCTCTCGATCCGCCGAAGGCCTCGTTCAGATATGACGCGGACAAACTGCAGTGGTTTTTATGATGGGATGGGATCTCCCTGGTGAAAACGCAAAATCCTTATAGCACGCAGTTGCCATTCATTTTCGTAGAGGTGTTGTGGACGAGTGGACAAGTCGCCGGACTGTGGATCACAAGGTCCGTGGTTCAAGTCCCGCCGCAGCACTACTGTCCTTTGGCAAGACATTGATCTACATTTGCCACTCTCCACCCAGGTGTTAAATGGGTACCCGGTAGGATGCGAAAGCTAATGTGGTTAGATTAGCAAGTGTGCGCATGTAAAAATGACGCCTGGCTGGAATGCTCCCCAGGGAGTGGAGAATGTGCATACATTGTGTGCGGGTAAGCCTGAATCCAATGACCGGGGTAATAATATACTTATCTGTAAAGCGCTTTGTGAGGGCCTCCGGTCCTGAAAAGCGCTATATAAGAACGAGCTATTATTATATTATTATTTTAAAGACGTCAAAAACAGCGGCGTTGTTTTGCACCAGTTCAATGCGCCATATCTGAATGGGCCTTGAAATCAGGCGTGTTTTGAGTCTAGTTCACTTACTCGAACGATGTCGCGTCGATGGCATCGATGGCTGGGCAGACGACGTTGGTCGGGTCGTCGTGGATCCGCTGCAGCAGGGGCTCGAGCCACCCGACGTTGCACTCAACGTGCGAATCGAGGAAGGTGAGTACGGGCCCCTGAGCCATCTCGGCCCCGATCAGTCGTGCTCGAATGAGCCCTTCTCGCTTGGGCAGGCGCACGACCTTCACCTTAGGTAGCTTCTTCATGTACTCATCAAGGGGTTCCTTGAGGTAGTCTTGCCGTTCAACATAAAAGAAAGAATAATGAAATGAGATCGCAAGCATACACAAAAATCAATGATTTAATACACTGGTGATGGAAAAACATCCCCCCAAAAGAAACATTGGGTTGGGGGTAGGGGAGGGGTCCAGGCAGGATTGTGCAAAGGGGGTAGTGTTACAACATTTCTGTTAAACGAAAAAATAAAGACATTATCTCTCTGCAAAGCCCCCCCCCCCCCTCAATGAAATTAATAATAGATAAATAAATAAATAAAAAGAAATTAAAGGGACATTAAGTTATGCCATTACTAAGGGATGATATCAAACAGGAAATGTTTAAAACCAATTAAGAATGTAGTGTAGTGTAGTGTAGTTGGCATGTTTTCTACACAGATGCTTTATAAAAGAACAAAAAGAGGGAAAATGAATTTAAGGTGCGGTACATGAGTTTGAAGAGAAACATTCCTACAAAATCCGAGTCAGTATTCCTACACGAACCAAACTCCTAACGTCGTCACACGGTCCCCGGACGCGACAGTGTTCCTACCCATAACCTAACCCTTAACTTAACCTAAATGTAGAGCGCAATTGCCAACCGTAACCTTTACCCTATACTTTTGATCAAATAAATCTCCGTCTTTAGACAGCGCTTTGAAACTGAAAGGAAAATACCGCTTGTATCGGATTGGCCTTACCTCTTTGGCTGAAGTCGTCGACCAGGAGGACCTCGGCGATAAGCTCGGGTGGAGATCGGTTGAGCACGCTGTGGACAGTTCGTAAGAGGGTCGACCACGACTCCTCTGTGAAGCAGATGATGACGCTGGTCCGTGGGAGGTCGTCGGAATACTCCTTCGTCTTACACCTGTAATGATGATGATGGTGGTGATGATGATAATGATTACAATAAATACAACAATAGCATCAACTACTACTAGGATGCTAATACTACAACTACTACTACTTCTGCTTCTTCTGCTGCTGCTGCTACTACTACTACTACTACTACTACTACTACTACTACTACTACTACTACTATTACCATCACACTGCTACTTCTATCAATGACTATGATAATTCGATGATGATACAATTATTTTACTCATTAAAGGCCTTTCAGTCTTTCGTGTTTGAATTGTGCTTAAAACTCATCTTTATAAGATGTAAAGTTTCGCATTGCGACCTCACAAACTTTGACATTGTTCACGCTCGCTTCGCTCACTCGCAAATTAATATATAAGACCAACCCACCCAACTACAAAGTATGATGCTTACGGAGTATCTTGGACCATGTAAAGAGAGAGACAGATATTGATATCATCCCTGACAATATCATCACAATGTAGGGGTATATACCCTGTAAAGCAGATGATGACGCTGGTCCGTGGGAGGTCATCATAATACTCCTTCGTCTTGGTATATCCAATGTAAACAAAGTGGTATATGTTCGCCTTGAAGTTTTTCTTTGAAGGTGCCATGTTTTTTCTCCAGAAAGTGCCCTTTTTGTTGGTGCCTGCAGCCTGCCCCTCCCACTTTGGAGGGTGTAAGTGTACCTTAATCACTCATTCACTTCACGGGCAGATCCGGATTTTTTTTTTAACGTGAAAGATAGCATTTCAAGGCTTGTGGATAAAAAAAAGTGCTAGACATTTTCCACTATTTGCATTTGTTTATTTGAATGAATGTAAAGGCGGAAATATAGTTGTATCGGTTGTGTGTTTTTATGTTATCAGAATCGCGCAGTTACGTGTGTGCTCAGACAAGGGCACATCGCAGACAAGGGCACTCTATTATAACCATAATATTGCTACTTCTACTACTACTACTACTACTACTACTACTGATAATGACAATGATCATAATATTATTATTCATTATCGTCGTCATAAGAAGAAGAAGAATATGAGCAAGAACAAGAATGTGATAAAAAGAAGAAGAATGAGGAGAAGAATAAGAAGAAGAAGAAGAGAAAGAATAATAACGATAAATGAATAACAATGATTATAACATGAGAACATGATATAATTACAAATAATGATAATTTCTATCCTGTTGTCTCTAAATGATATTTACACGTGTATATCAATCCATGAATGAAAATGCATTCAATCAGCAGATGTATTAGATTTATTGTACATAATAATAATAATCATAGTGGGTTCTTGTATAGCGCTCATGTCAGTCAGATTTGACCCTCCTGTATTATAACCAACGCTTCTTCTCCACCCTTTCCTTTTCTTCTCTGCAAGTCACTCTTTTTTTCTTTTTCTTTTTTTATTGTTGTATCTAAGTTGAGGGCTGCGGGCACGTCAACGTAACCATGGATTCAATATATTTGTTTAATTTCGTTTATTATCTGTACAAAATTATATACACTTAAAATATTGTATCGAACCATATTATGTTCATGAAAATGTATGATGAAAAAAAGAAAAAAGGTGCAGAAACCAATTAATCAAATCAAATCAAATCAAAACATATACACAAGTCATGAAGGACGTATGCGTGAAAAGGGAGAGGTTGCACGCTGTTAAATAAGCGGATCGAGGTGGCTGATATTATTTGTAATGATTGCTTATTAATTGAAGTAGAGATATAAAGACATAGTGTGGAAGAAGAATAAAAGGAGACAGAAATAAAGAGAAGGAAAGAAGAAAAAAGTCAAGTGGAGAAAGGGGAGAGAAAATGGAGAAAAACTCGAAGGGTACTAACGCATGCAGAAGTAAGAAATGAGAGGGGATGAGAGAGGAAGAGAGAGGACGAGAGAGAGAGAGAGGACGAGAGAGAGAGAGAGAGAGAGAGAGAGAGAGAGAGAGCCGGGGAGCGAGAGATAGAAAGCTGAAAGAGAGAGAGAGAGAGAGAGAGAGAGAGATTCACACACATACACACACACGCGCGCACACGTCCGTCTAGACTGAAAATCGCTCGTAACCAGACAGTCATGCAGAGGTGACTCTTGGAATGACAGCTGTGGGGATTTCCAGACTGGGAAATTCCCACTTTGTACAGGGTGTGTACTCAAAAAATATACTTGAGTTCTGGTCATGGTGAAATCAAATGACTGAAAGCGTTTTGGAAACGTTGATCGTGACATCATGTCGCATATAAGCATCTATACCCTAAGATTTTGAAATCATCAAAGTGATTAAAGGAATTGGCACAGTTTTTCTAAAATTCATATGCACTATTCACAGAAACTTGTCGGCCTATTTTTTCTCACGCTTTCGAATATTACTATTAGTGCATTTGAAGCCAGAGAAATCCTTTTTCAGGAGACATTTTTGTTCTGTGCCGTTCATTCAACTAACATTTTTTAAAGACTGAAAAATCTCACAAATAAATATTCACCTATCCCAGTCAAACTGCTCTTTAATGTTTGCACATACCATGCGCTACTATCATTTTGAAAGCGTTCTCTATTTATTCTGTCTATCCAAAATCCACAGGAAAGAAAAACGGAAGAAAATACAATAAAGCTAAGTATAGATACATCACTGAATTAACGCACTGTTTATTATACTGCGCAGTCTTTCATATAGCTTTGATCATGCGGTTCCATGCGGCACAATCGTCATGTAGGGCTATCATTTTGCCATCGGGTACGCAAATTGCTGGCTTTTAGGTATTGCGTCATAGCAGCTTGTTTGTTCTGAGTTACCCTGTACATGTGTCGCAATGTTTCACGCTCGCGTCTCCGCAAGTGCTGAAATGTCAATACTATGGTGGCCCTGAAGGGACATCGCGAATAGACTAAATCGCGAAAAATTGGCGATAAAATTCACGATATTGTAAATTTTATCGCCAATTTTTCACGACGAAATTCACGAAATTCACGATATCGTAAACTTTATCGTGAAAAGTTCACGATAAAATTGACGATATCGTATATTTTATCGTGAAAAGTTCACAATAAAGTTCACGATAAAATTGACGATTTCGTATATTTTATCGTGAATTATTTTCTCCTGGCCTGGGCGGTTCGTAAACAAAACCAGCCCTAGCTAGCTTGATTGAAGACGATTATTATGACGAGACGTTTTTACGATGATTTCTGTGAAAATGGTAGGTTTAACTTCATATTATGCTCTATTTGTATTTTATCTTTGACAAGATAGGGATAAAAGTAATTGCACAGCGGAAAAATTACCCGGTATGCAATTAATGGTCTAGATGCACTCAATCAATGGCAATGCATTTTCCCATACATTCATTTCCATGTTGTAATATCTATTGAGTAATGTAATTGTCTAGGCCTACTTTTATTAGCAGGCCTACGTACTAGCACACTCAATTTCTCAAACTGAGTCAACAAAGACTGACAGAGTTGATGTAGAACTAATACTAATAAGTAATAGGTAGCAGCGGCTAGCAGAATATTAGTAGCATTCTAGTGCACTAGCTGCATGCAGCTGCAGACCTAGGCCTAGATATCTAGGCTAGAATAATGCATGATTGTATGAATTGTATTGAAGATGATTTAGTCGTAGGCTCTATGGCTCCAGTGATTATTGCATTGGCAGACATTTTATTTTTAATATTTTTTTAAATGCTTGCACAACATGAATTACTAATTAAGCAAGGGCCTAGCCTAGGTCACTCGAGTAGACAATGCTAATGCGTATTGACCTCGTACCTCTAGATTTCTACAGCGCTGCATACGTGCTGAGAGGGCAATCGATTGCACACAATTACACACTCGTGAACACAATGAGTACGAAGTGACTGATATGATCGGCAAGTTTGAAGTAGACTCGTGATTTGAATTTTCATAGAGGTAATACAAAAAAGTACACTAATGCTGCTATAGATAGAAATGGTTTTTATTAAAAAGATCATCGCAGCCAATGGCTGAATTGCGATCCATTTCACAAGGTTATATACAATACAATTGCAATTCAAATTGAAATAACACAACATATGACATAAATCAATAATCAAACATATAGACATTTCATAAACATTCATTGATCAGATTCAAATTTTTGTTAAAAAAAGAAAGAGATAGGGAGAGGTGTAGGAGAGGGAGAGTTGGAGTGATGACAAAGAGAGAGAAGGAGAGAAAGAAAGAGAAAGGGGACGGGAGAGAAAGACGGAAAGAGAGAGAGGGTTGAAGAGAGGAAGAGACAGACAAAGGGTACCTTATCATTACAGATGAGGGGAGATGGCAAGAAATATTCAGTATTGCAGAAAATTGAGATAAAAACTGTCAAAATTCATTCACATATTTCAATCATGGACTGTGAAATTCTAAAAATATTAATATTACATTTTATTCAAAAGATTTATAAAGTAAGGAAGTGAGCTGCACTGGAAGCGTTTTGTTTTACATTGGTATTGTTTAAACTTTGATTGAGATCTTAGAGAATAAGTGCTTTGTTGTCTAAGAGGTAAACATTCTTTAAATTGTGGGTGTTTGATAAGTGCATTTGCAAAGTCTATACATAACTGCTTACGTCTTGCTTCTAATGAACATAGATTGCACGTTTCCAATGCTGCTTCATAATTTTCATACTGACGTCCTAAAATGATTTTGCAAGCTCTTTTCTGAATACGTTCTAAAATATATACATGAGTTTTTGTTAAATTACCATTAAAAACCGGTACCCCATAATCTAAAATCGAACGAATGTATCCTTTATATATTAGTAAAAGGTCATCTACAGGCAATCCATACTTCTTAAGGCAACGAAACATAAATAACTTCCTATTACACCTTTTTGTGAGATCGGATACATGACTATCCCACTTTAGGTTTGATTGTAAAATAATTCCGAGGACTTTGGCTTGATGAACATAAATTAATTCTTTGTCGCCAATGAACATTGAAGTTTGTTCATCACAATTTTTCATAAATGTTATAACCAT